TCCGCAATAGGAATGGAACCCACCACATGCAACTCACGAAGCACATCCAGTTGGGCCTCGGTATGAATCCATTCCTCGTACAACTCATAGGGGACGTTGGGGAAGACAGAAGGCCGTGCAAGAAGTTTGGCCTTCTCAGCCTCCAGAGCAGCAACTCGATCATAAAGATCAAAGATTTCTTTTTCCAAATCCCAAATCCTTTCATCGAGCCGTTCTTCTTTAGCCCTCGCCATCGATAAGTCATTTTGTCGCTCAGAACGAAGGGTTCGGTTCGCCAATTCAAGGAACTCCACCCTCCTCCGAGCCTCCGACCGTGCAGACTACACCTTATCAAGCCCCTCCTACTTCTCGGCGACCTCGCCGTTGAGATCCTCCACCTTGAACTGACACTCTTCAAGTTGGACTCGTAGCTGAACCACTTGGTCTTGGAGATCACTAGATTGTGCCTCTATGCCCCTGCTGAGCTCAAGATCTTCCTCTTTGCTCCTCAACGTCCCTTCAAGGACACTAAATTTCTCCACAGCCTACATAAGCTCCTTGTTCCTCTTCTTTAAGTCCTCCCTCAGGACCCGCACGTCGCCACCTTCGCGAAGCCGACATCGGAGCTCCTGGTACTTTCCAAGGCATATTATATACTTGTCTTTTAGCTTCACGTAAATTTCTTTATGTCTTCTCTCCCGTCGAGCACTCTCAATCTCTAGAATAAACATCTACAAAACAAAGAAAAGGGGTTAGAACTTACAAAGAAACTAAAGCATAAGGAAAAGAACAGATGATAGTCGTACTTACCTAGTGGGCGAGACCAGCAATGTTATTCGACAAAGTGATGTCGTTTATCATCTCGAGGGTCGTACCCTCAACCTCAGAACAAAGAGGACCGAAGGCAGGGACTACTCCCTCGGTATTTACAAGCAGATTACGATCCATCGGAATCGTAATAGTTATGGAACCCCCTTCCAACCTCACCTCGAGTTGGACCAGATCGGAAGTTCCTCGTCGATCATCCTCAACTCGGCCAGATCCATATCGGAGTCGGACCTAACGTCCTCTTCAGGAATGGCCTTCTCTCTGCCATTAGCAGAAGAGGGGACATCCACTACCGCCCTAGAAGACGAAACCTCCTCTTGCCTCGGAAGTGCGAGGCCATCGTCAGGCATCCCGCCTTTGACTGTCTCCCCCGCAGGATGCATCGATGCACTCACGTTCATCTCCTCCAAATACAGGACCTCAGAGTCCACCTCAGTGCTCTTTCCAACATGCACTATGGACATCTCACGAAAAATGAAGTCGCCTTATTCCAAGTCGACGGCTACTGGCCTTTCTCCTCCCGCATCCACGGCTCTCCTCTTACGAGGCATTAGACTACCATCCTCAGGAAAGATATCATCATCCTCATCGACTAGTGAAAAAAGTCGAGGAGCGGAAGCAATGGATGGAACGGAAACAGGTTCTTGAACTGTGGCCGCCGAGGGAGGGGTCAACACAGAAGCGGTGGTAGTTGCGATAGTGGTGGAGGCCGAAGGTGCGGTAGCCTTCCTCCATAAAGATGGCACCAGTGCCCGGCTCCTTCGATAAGACCCCCTGACTAGGAAAGAAACAAACGATGAAGTTACCAAATCGAGTCGGTGTACAATGAAAAATGAAATGACCACGGGCAAATAGAAATGGTTACTTGTCGAAGGAAGAGCCGGTCTGAAATTCTTGATGAAGCTCGGCCAGTTGCGAATTCCCATGACGTGGGGGAGGATTTGCTCGACCCAATCAGAAGAGCGCGTGACTAAAGGGGAGGCTGATTATTGGCTACAAGGAAAGGGAAGTCCTTCAATTAATTCCGAGCAAGTAAAGGAACGCAAACAAAAATTGAGCACTTACGTGGGTAATTCCAAGCCTCGTGAAAGCCCTCGGCATTAGTCAACACGTGCTCAGTCCCTACATAGAAAATATTGAGCCAGAACTGGTTACTGGCCTTATTGTCCATCTTCACCACCAAATATTTGCCTCCACGGTGCTGAAGATTCATCATCGTTTTCCTATAGAAGCTAGGGACGAAGAGATGAACCAAATGCTGCAGCGTCAGCTCAACCCTGGCCAGCTCGGCAAATTTGGTCAACATCCTAATAATTTTATAGACATACGGCGCAAGCTGAGCAGCGCAGATGCCGTAGTGACAACAAAATTCCTCCACCAATGGAAGGAGCAGGAAAGAATAAAAGATGAGGAAGGGATAAGTGTATAGACCGCAGTATCCGGGACAATGAACCTGCACCACGTCCTCACCAGCCGGGATCAGTTCGATATGGTTTGGAAGGCTGAACTTGGCCTTGAGTTTTGCCAATTCTTTAGGCGTCATCGTCGATTGGAAAATCCCAGGCGCGACGTCCGGTGACCGAGTGAGGTCGGACCTAACGTCAGGAGTGCGAGGAATTATTTCCTCCACTGACGAGAATGATTCATAATCAACAATAGCGGAAGCACCCTCCCTATGAGAAGGAAACATAACTGCCAAAGGAGCAACGCGACACCCCTCACTAGCGTTTGATGATAAGTCAGACATGATGTAAAGTAATAAAGACGAATAACAAGCGGAAAAGAATGGAGATGGTGTAGGGAAGTAGAGTGAGGAAAGAAAGTTCATAGAAGAAAATGGCGAGAAGAAGGATGGTGCTCTAAAAAGTTAGAAGAAACAAACTTCAAACTCAAGTCCAAAAACCTGTATTTATAAAGATCATGGCACTAAACCCGAAAACGGCTCGTCATAATTGGCACCAAAATCAAAATGGCAGATACAATCAAAGATCATGCACGAATCGAGGCAATGTATCGGGAATATGCGTCATAATGACGTCTGATGTCATGATGTCAATCCAATCCCTAGACAGGATAACTCCAACAAATTGCCCGGGAAACTTGAGTTATTTGAAATATGTGGCCCACGGAGGGCCACGTGGCCTGTTCGACAAGGCGATTATGACTCTTGCAGCTTACTTGATAAGTTCGACCGAAAACGACAGTATCCGCTCATTGAGCTCACCTGCGAGGACGACTTCAATTAGCGGAGGGACTAACTGTATGAGTCAAAAATTATCTCTAATATGATCAAACCATGTTAACATTAAGGAGGCATTCACAGACTGTCGTGTGTCATCAACACGACTCCAATGAAGACCTTCCCAAGGTCGAAATGGTTCCAAAAATGATGAAGGTCGCGGTCGAAGAGTAAGCAAGGATCAAGGTCGAGAAGTCTTCGTAGATCAAGGTCGAGGTTAAGCACCCTAGGCAGAGTTATAACGGTTAGCTTTAAGATATGACACTAAAAAAAATATTCTAGTAGATATTCTCTGCACATGTACTATTAGGCTTTCTAGGAATATGTCCCCTATAAATAGAAAGAGACACAATGATAGGGGACATGTGATATTCACTTATAAGAAAACACATTGACTTTATAGAGAGAATCTGACCATATTACAAGCATACGAAAATATTCTTTTTACTAAGATTCTTGTCTAGCTTTTCCACTTGATCCAAGAACAACCTGAGTGTTCTAAGGCTCATCAATCATTCTTCATTGTGAGAAAGAATATTCACATATCCCACCCCTTTTTGGGTGACTCACACGTTTTTATCTACTTAAATATCATTAATTGCTATTTAATACTATTTACTGCTATCTTTCATCTCTTTGGACCATTGAATACTGTTATTGTTGCTCACATTCATTACTATTCGGTAAAATATACACATTATCTGTCATAAAATCGATTACCTTATCTTTTGGAGAATATTATTGGCTAAAATTGACTCTTCTTAATTTAAATCTAATTGGTTGGACCAAGATCTATATTTTGAGTTAAACAGACTTATCATAAGAAACTATTTGGTTGTCGAAAGGTGTCCCTTTTTATCATATTCGTCATAGAAAAAGCTCTCTTTCACTTGATAGTTAAATACCATTCCACCAAACCTTACTGATCTAAAGAAAAAATTGATCCCTTCGGAAGGAATATGGCTACCATTTTAAATTATTAAAAGGACCTCAACTTCTCAACGACTTCGAAATTACATCTCTCCCTCTCTTGAAAGAAACCAGATTGTAGCATTTTAATTAAATGTTAGACGAGTCCAGCAAAATAGCATGCATTTGAATTCTCAAAGATTTTAATGTATCAATAACATTAAGATACTAGATAAACAATGTTTAGGTAGCAAGTACCTTGTGAAATAAAGGTAAATGTGACCTTGTGAAATTAAGGTAAATGTGTCGAACATCGTAAGTATAAAAAATACTTAAACTAGTAATAACTTATTGACGGCATATCAATTTATGATTGCGACATGTGCCCCCTTTGGATGGGGAAAGAGTGAGTGCCACTGGCTTGGTATTTGAATTTGAAAATCAGTCTAACGGAACTGTATGCATATGGTCCAACAAAACTTTATTTTCATATTGATGACAACAATATGGTCCACTCAAAACAACCAAATAATTCAAGAAGGAAAAAAATTAACGGTCTTTTGATGACAGTAGATATCTCATAAGAGTAGGTGATAGTAATTCATGTGATATTACTATATCAGTAGCAAATCAGTTGAAGCTGTAAAGACAGTCGCATTTTACCAACTGGGCTCCAACACAGCATGTGAACTTTGATAGCTACGCAAGTAACAATCATGACTGACTTCATCCTCATTTTCACTGATTTATTTTCTTTTCAGTAACTATACATTTATATTTTTGCCTTCAAAAGAAGCAAAAACTCGATAAAACTCTCGTTATGCACAAGGGTCGGAAAAGAGAAAGATCGTATTGGTCCACATTGTACACAATTTTATCTTAAATTTTTACAAAAGATTTTTTTCATACCGGATTTTTTCAAGCCTCTTAATTATACCATTGCGGCAAGGCTTCCCTTCTAGCCAAAACTTGATATATACCTTAAATCAAATGACAAAATTGTGTAAAAATTTAGGGGAAGCCTAAAAAGAAAAAGGCCTTAAGTGGGGTAGTTGGATGCTTCATAGTGGGGATAAAATGACAATCAAATGTCCATTTCTCAATTAGTTAAATTGCTCCTTTTTGCCTCACCATAACTTTTTATCTACATTCTTCCTCTTATCTTGCCCCCATTCTCCTTTCCAATTCCAAGACCGAGAGCTCTCTGCCACAAAAATCAAGAAAGAGAGGGGGAAAGACTCAGAAAACACTAGTTTACTACCTCTAAAAACTTGACAATGGCATTTGCAGGAACAACACAGAAATGTATGGCATGTGAAAAGACAGTGTATTTGGTTGATAAATTAACTGCAGACAATAGAGTCTATCATAAAGCTTGTTTCAGATGCCATCACTGCAAGGGTACTCTCAAGGTTTGTTTCTTACATTTTGTTTTTTTTTAAGCCAATTCAGTAGAGCTCATTGTTCAGATTTGTATTCAGTCATTCATTTTCTGTGGCGTAAAAACATATCAGAAAATAGATTTCAGAAAGAAAGTAGATTTAGACTTCTTAATCCAATTTTCCATCTTAATTAGCAATGCTTATTATTATCTTCAATTGCAGCTAAGCAACTACAATTCCTTTGAGGGAGTTCTCTACTGTAGACCTCACTTTGATCAGCTCTTCAAAAGAACTGGAAGTCTGGACAAAAGCTTTGAAGGTACTTAGAGAAAAAGTACATAACTCAAAATTGATTTTTACAAATGAAAAAAGTTACTGATAGATTAAAATTATTCCAGGGACACCCAAAATTGTGAAGCCAGAGAAAGATGAGGTAAGTGACAAATGAATAACTCGATCTTGTTGACATATGTGAGCATATTTTGTAAATAACTAATCTATGTTGAATATTTAAAACAGAAACCACAGGCAGCTAAAGTCTCAAGCATGTTTGTTGGAACAAGAGAGAAATGTTTTGGCTGCAAGAATACTGTCTATCCAACAGAAAAGGTATATATGCAGAAAGAATTAAACATACATATATAATAAGATCATACTCGTTCTGAATTAATTGACTCTAGATCTTGGATTTCGACTCTATTTATAGGTATCAGTGAATGGAACACCATACCACAAAAGCTGCTTCAAATGTAGCCATGGTGGCTGTACAATTAGCCCGTCCAACTATATTGCACACGAGGGCCGCCTCTACTGCAAGCATCACCATATTCAACTGATCAAGGAAAAAGGAAACTTAAGCCAGCTCGAGGGTGATCACGACAAGAACTCAGTTAAAGTCATCGCAGAATCATAAACTCCCAACCGTATATCACGTAGTTCATCTTCATCTTTTTCTTCTTGCATTTTTACTGTCCGCTTTATTGATCTAGAATATGAATAATGGTTATTCATCTGCAGACTTCAGGATTTTCCATGAATGTACTTCCTTCTGCAGCCTAGTTTTCTCTCATCTGCTTCTATCAATTTGAATATTCTGAATCATATTTTAGGTGTCTGTGTTAACTTTTTTGCTTCTTGTCGGTGCGTAATAGACTGAACCTGTGAAACACAACGAGCTATATTTCACAAACTTAGCCAATACTTTTATAATAGTATCAACTTCTTAGCACCAGATTTCTAGAAGTATTCACCATTTTACCCAACTTAGGGTCCATCAAACTGTATAGGTAGTCTATATGAACAGTAGTGATGCATGCTAAAAATAAAAGAAAATGGAGATTTTACGGAAAATTATACTTTGGTGACATTCGTCCTTTGACAATCGCCATTCTGCACTGCTTTGTTCCTACTCCAAACAAAGAAAAATTGTGATTTTTCAGAGTGGTGGTCGGTTTGTGGCCTTGATGCCCTAAGGAGTTTGAATTCACGGCCACTCCGTTGTCGAAGAACTGATTCTATGAGAGTGGTACCAAAATACTCGGAATACTCTATATCGCTTTCTGGAGACATTGGCTTTCTGTTGTTGCCCCGACTGTTTCATACCCAGATATCCAAAGTACCGCTAATCCTTGTCCCTAAAGCGAGGAAATTTTTCCTTTAAAATCAAACTTAGTTGTCTTGCACCCAATATCAGTTTGTGTATGTAGTGCTTATCAACTTTTCCCATGAATCAAGTCTTGCTTAGGTGACCTTTTCAGTTTCTTTGAGACACTTTGTTCGGCTTAGCAAAAGAGATCACAGACGGATTCGTGCCTTTATTAATGTTGTATATGCCCCAAATTGTGCTCAGTATTACGAGAAAACTGTAGCCAGTTTTGCAGCCATTTCTTTGCTTCACTTTTGATGCAAGATTAGACCGAAAGGGACTCAAAAAATATTTATGGGAAAAACATAAGAGCAATTGAAAGTAAAAAAAAGAAATTGTGTCTAAACAAAAGGTGACCCTTTTAGGGAGAAGGATAGGGAGACTTATCTGGAGGTGTGCCCACTTCAATGAATCATGACATGCATTTTGGACTAGACTCCTGATCCGTCTGAGCTGTCTAATTCTCAAAATTCGTCACAAATGTTCATTTTGAAATTGTCTTGGTTGTGCTTATGCCCGAGTATCGAAGACTCTCATTCGGCTAATAACGCCCTTTGCGGCTTTTCGCTAACTGACCTCTCTCATTTCTCTAACCATCGTCGCCTTATGGTGCCCATCTGGGTTTTCACCAATAAAACTCTCTCATTTCTCTGCTCTCTATCGCCTTATAGTGGCCATACAGGTTTTCACCGATAAGACTCTCATTTGTTTTTGAAGATACTGCATGCGGAAGGTTGTCATACGCCCTTGTCATGGGGACTTCAAACATTCTCAAAGATCGATTAGAAGTTTCTAACAGGGAAAAGGCGAAAAGAACCTTGAACTGAATTACAACTTTTGGAACTGTTTTTACAGGAAAAAAAACTGTAAAATAAAACAAACTTTTGCCTCAACTTTGGAGTATTGGGAATATGAATTTTTTGTTGTGATGGGACTGAACCCAAGGTAAGACTGCCTATGTATCCTTTCGGAATCAGATCAGACATAGTTCATTTACTCAAAAGATTTGTTGTTTGATTTTTCTCTTCCTTTTTTTCCTTTTCATTTTTGCTTTTACAAGTTACATAAGTTCCAAAAAAGGGGAAAACAAAGATGACAAATACAGCTCAAAAGTGTGACACATATTTTAGATAATGAGCAGTGATATCCTTCGTCATCTCGATCTGAGAAAATCATGCGTGAAAGTTTCGCAGTAGGTATATATCAAACGTAATATCTTTTGACTGCATCTGGATTAATAGTCATGTCTGATACCAGTCCTTCTTCATCTACCAAGTGCAAAGCCCCTTATGGTAATACTTTGTTGATGATGTAGGGTCCTTGCCAGCTCGGGGCGGACTTTTCTTTAGTTTCTACCTAGTGTAAAAGGATGCATTTCAAAACGAGCTGGCCTACCTCTAAGTGCCTTGGGCACACTTTCTTGTTATAAGCGCGTGCCATTCTTTGCTGGTATAACTGGCCAAAACACACTGCTGATAGCCATTTTTCATCAATCAACATTAGATGTTCTAATCGGGTCTTGACCTACTCAATGTCTTTAATCTCCAATTCCACAATGATTCAGAGAGAGGGAATTTTGACTTCAACTGGTATTACAGCTTCAGTTCCATATACCAACAGATAAGGAGTTGCACCCACTGATGTATGAGCAGTCGTGCGGTATCCCAAAAGAGCAAAAGGCAACTTTTCATGCCATTGCCTGGACCCTTGGATCATCTTCCTAAGAATCTTCTTGATGTTCTTGTTAGCCGCTTCAACGACTCTATTGACTTTTGGCCGGTAAGTGGTAGAATGGCGATGCATAATTTTAAATTGCTTGCATACCTTCTTCACCAGATGACTATTTAGATTGGCCGCATTGTCAGTGATAATGATCTTTGGGAAACCAAAATGACAGATGATGCTGGAATGAACGAAGTATACCACTATTTTCTTGGTGACTGCTTTGAAAGTAACTGACTCCACCCACTTGGTGAAGTAGTCAATGGCAACTAGAATGAATCTGTGTACCATTTGAAGCCTTTGTCTCGATTGGACCAATAATATCCATTCCCCAAGCAACGAAAGGCCAAGGAGAGGACATAAGATGAAACACTGATGGAGGCAAGTGAATCAGGTCGCCATGAATCTGGCATTGGTGATACTTGTGAACAAAACTGAAGCAATTTCGCTCCATAGTAAGCCAATAATACCCTGCCCGCAGAATCTTCTTCGCCAAACCGTATCCATTCATGTGAGGCCCACATACCCCCCAAATGATCCGTTCAGCTTCTATGGAGTCTATGCATCTCAATAAGTTTAAATTTGGGGTCTTTTGTACAAAATTTCCCCATTCAGGAAGAAACTACTAGCGAGCCGCCTTATAGTTCTTTTTTTTATCTCCCTTGGCATCTCTGGGAACTCCATTGTTTTCAAGAATCCTTTTATGTCATGATACCATGGCTCACCATCTGGTTCTGCCTCAATTGTATTGCAGTAACCATGTTGATTCCGAACTTAGATTTGCAATGGATCGATATGAGTGTTGCTTGGACAAGGGAGCATCGAGGCTAAGGTAGCCAAGGCGTCGGCTAGCTCGTTGTGAAACCTAGGAATGTACCTGAATTCGATGGATTTTAATCTTTTGCTCAGGTCTTTACACATTGTATGTATGGAATAAGCTTGATATCTCGAGTCTCCCATTTGCCTTGGGCTTGCCGGATAAGCAAGTCGAAATCTCCCATAACCAATAGTTCATGCACCTCCAGATCGAGGGCCATTTTAAGACCCAGGATATAAGCTTTGTATTCTGTCGTATTATTAGTACAGAAGAACCGAAGTCGGGTCGTTGCAGGGTAATGCTGTCCAATAAGTGAGACGAGGATTGCCCTGATCCCAACTCCTTTGATATTGACAACCCCATCAAAATACACTTTCTATACATGGTTGTCGTCCGGAACTACTTCCTCTATTCAGTTGACCTCTTCGTCTGGGACGTATGTGCTAAGTGGCTTGTAATCATCATCAACTGGATTCTCTGCCAAATGATCTGCCAAAGCTTGTGCTTTCATTGCGGTGCGAGTGACATAGACGATGTCGAACTCTGTGAGCAGGATTTGCCATTTTGCAAGCCTGCCAAAAGATTTCCTTCAAAGGATCCATTCTGGATATGAGGTAAGTAGTATAGGCCAAAAGATAATGCCCCAGCTTCTGAGCGACCCAAGTCAAGGCACAATATGTCCTTTCTAAAAGGGTGTAATTAACCTCATAATTGGTGAACTTCTTTCTCAAATAATAGATAGCATGTTCCTTTTTGCATGTCGCATCATGTTGCCCCAGAACGCATCCAAAGAAATTATCCATCACTGATAGATATAAAAACAAAGGCCCACCAGGTTCAGGTGGGACCAATACAAGGGGTTTTGATAGATAATCTTTGATCTTGTCAAAGCTTTTTGGCAATCGTCTGTCCACTTGGTATCCGTATCCTTTTTCAGCAACTTAAAGATGGGCTCGCATGTGGTTATGAGCTGAGCAATGAACCTACTGATGTAGTTCAACCTCCCGAGCAAACTCATGACCTTCGTTTTGTTCTTCGGGGGTGGCAGATCTCTAATGGACTTTATCTTAGATGGATCCAATTCGATGCCTTTCCGACAGACTATAAAATCGAGGAGTTTCCCAGAAGGAACCCCAAATGGACACTTGGCTGGATTGAGTTTAAGGTCATGCCTTCGAAGCCGTTCGAAGAACTTTTTCAAATCGCGCATGTGATCAGCCTATGTCTTTGATTTTATGATGACATCAACGACATATACTTCAATCTCTTTGTGCATCATGTCGTGAAAAATGATAGTCATGGCCCTCATGTAAGTTTCCCCTGCATTCTTCAGACCGAATGACATGACCCTGTAACAATAAGTACCTCATGTAGTGGTGAAAACGGTCTTTTCTGCATCATCCTCATCTATTAGAATCTGGTGGTACCTAACATAGCAATCCACGAATGATTGTATCTCATGCTTTGCGCAATTATCTACAAGAATGTGGATATTTGGTAAAGGAAAATTATCCTTTGGACTTGCTTTGTTCAGGTCCCTGTAGTCAATACAGATTCTTGTTTTTCCATCCTTCTTTGGCACATGTACAACATTTGCCACCCAGGTGGTGTATCGGACAGCTCTGACCACATTGGCGCTCAGTTGCTTCATTATTTCCACTTTGATTTTGTCACTCATGTCCGTTTTAAATTTACGTTGCTTTTGTTTGACTGGTGGAAAATCAGGATACGTGGGAAGCTTTTGATGTGTTATATTCAACCTCTTGATGTATTATTTCGAATTTAGACAGCTTTCTAAGATCTGGGTGTGAATTCCGCATGCGTGTCATGTTATTAAAGCCGACATTAACAAAACTGAAATGGAAACAAAATGACAAGAATTAGGAAAAGGAAAAGATACAAAACTTAATACGAAACTAAATTGTATTTCATTGAAGT